AATAAAGTCTATTTTTAAAAAATCAATTGTCCACAAACAGCAGGGTTTATTTCTGGATTTTCAATATAGATCTATTCTGTATAGATCTATATTGTCTACCCTTGTCAGTCCCTTAGTCTTGATTACTGTAACTTTGTAGTCAGTTTAGAAATGAGGAATTGTGAGGCCTCCCACTCTGTTATTTTTCAAAAATATTTTAGCTATTCTGAGACCCTTGCATTTCCATCTAAATTTTGGATTCATTTTGATAAAGTCTGCAAAATATGCAGTTGAGATTTTGATAGGAATTGCACTGAGTCTGTAGACCAATATGAGAAACACTGCCATCTTAATAATATAAAATCTGGCCAGGCACAGTGGCTCACGCCTGTAATCCCAGCACTTTGGGAGGCAGAGACGAGAGGATTGCCTGAGCTCAGGGGGTCGAGATCAGCCTGAGCAACATGGCGAGATCTCGTCTTTACGATTAAAAAAAAAAAAAATTAGTTGGGTATGGTGGCACATGCCTGTGGTTCCAGCTACTTGGAAGGCTAAAGTGGAAGGATCACCTAAGCCAAACAGGTCAAGGCTGCAGTGGCCGTGAGCATGCCACTGCACTCCAGCCTGAGCGACAGAGTGAGACTCTGACTCAAAAATAAAAAATAAAATAATAAGCCGGGCTTGGTGGCTCAGCCTGTAATCCCGCGCCTTTGGGAGGCTGAGGTGAGTGGATTGCCTGAGCCCGCGGGTTCAAGACCCACCTGGGCAGCAAGACCTCATCTCTACAATAAATCAAAAAATCAGCCTGGCGTGGTAGCGCATGCCTGTAATTCCGGCCACTTGGAAGGCTGAGGCGGAAGGATCGCTAGAGCCCAGCAGGCGAGGCTGTAGTGGTCAGGAGCAGTCACTGCACTCCAGTCTGGGCGATCGAGTAAGACTCCAACTAAAAAAAATAATAATAATAAAATAAAATAATAATTATACAAAATCTTACAGTCTATGAACATGGGCTGTCTTTCTATTTATTTTTATTGTGTTTAATTTATTGCAGTGATGTTTAGTAGCTTACTGTATACACAGTGTACATTTCTTTTATTAAATTTATTCTAAGTATTTTATTTTTTATTTTATTTATTTATTCTTTGAGCTGAAGTCTCACTCTGTCATTGCTGGTGTACAGAAATACAATTGATTTTTGTATTATTATCTTGTATTTTGCACCTTTGCTGAACTTGTTTATTATTAATAATTCAGTAGTTTTTTTATTTTTATGAATTCCTTGGGATGTTCCTGGCTTGTATATATATGTATTGGGGGGGTGAGAGGGGGTGGGATTGTTGTAATCTGAACACCATTTTTCAAAAAAATTTATTCTTATTTAATTATTTTTTGTAGAGATGTGGTCTCACTTTATTGCCCAGGCTGGTCTTGAACCTCTAGCCCCAACCAATTCTCTTGCTTCAACCTCCCAAAGTGCTAGGATTATAGGTGTGAGATACCGTGCCTGGCCACCTTAGAATTTCCTGTGAAATCATGTCATCTGTGATGAGGGATAGTTTTACTTCTTCCTTTCCAATTGGGATTCCATTTATTTCATTTTCTTGTCTAATTGCCCTGGCTAGAGTACAAAGTTACAATGTTAATCCAAATGATGAGAGTGAACATCCTTATGTTGATTCTGATCTTAGAGAATAGCTTTTGGTCTTTTTAGTAAATTAGCTGTGGACTTTTGGACAAGTTTCAGGATAGAGAATGTTCCCTTCTATCCCTAGTTTGTTGACTGCTTTCTATATTTCTTTTTTTTTATTATTTTTTATTTGGAGTCTCACTCTGTGACCCAGACTGGAGTGCAGTGGCCGCTCCCGGTCACTGCAGCCTCAATCTGCTGGGCTCCGGCGATCCTTCCGTCTCAGCCCTCCTAGTAGCTGGAACTACAGGCACGCGCTACCACGCCTGGCTCATTTTTTGATTTATTGTAGAGATGAGGCCTCGCCAAGTTGCCCAGGTGGGTCTCGAACCCGAGGGCTTAAGCAATCCACTCACCTCAGCTTCCCAAAGTGCTGGGATTACAGACTGAGCCTCTGAGCCCAGCTTGCTTTCTATATTTCTATTGAGATGATTGTGTGGCTTTTGTTCTTTATTCTATTAGTATGGTGTATTACACTGGTTTATTTTCATATGTTCAATCAACCTTGAATTCCTGGGATAAATCACACCTGGTCCTTTTTTTCATGTTGCAGGATTTGATTTCTAGTAGTTTTCCCTCAGTATTTGCAGGGGATTGGTTCTAGGAAACCATCCCCCCATTTATACATCAAATCCAAATTCAAAAGTTGTGTATACTCAAGTACTGCAATTGACCCTATAGAATCTGCTTTTAGGAAAAGTCAGCCCTCTGTATATGTGGGTTTTGTACACTGTATATTGAGTTGCTTTTGTATGCTTGGTTGGTTGCTGTAAAGATGAGGTTTTGCTATGTTTGCCCAGGCTGATCCTTAGCTCCTGTCCTCAAGTGATTCTCCTGCCTAAGCCTCCAAAGTGCTGAGATTACAGGCATGAGTCACCGTGCCCAGCTAATTTTCTGATTTATCGCCAAGTTGCCCAGGCTGGTCTTGAACTCCTGGGCTCAGGCAATCCTCTTGCCTTGGCCTCCCAAAGTGCTGGGATTACAGGCATGAGCCACTACACCCAGAGCCCAGCTAATTTTTTAAAATAAATTTTTGTAGAGATGAAGTCTCACTATTCTTTTTTTATGATGCCTTTGTCGAGTTTGGAGTCAGAGTAATTCTGGTCTTGTAGAATGAGTTGGAAAATATTCCCTCCTTTTTTTTTTCCTGATGGCTTATTGTTACTATATCTTCATGGTGTTGATCTGTGTAATTGCCTCACTCAGTGGGGTCCCAGCACTTGGCCCAGTCATATCCCTTGGAATGTACAATTTACTGTATCAACCATGCTTGGCCTCCAATAATCCATTGTATGTTAGTGCCTGTGGCAGGGGTGTGATTAGAGTCCTTTTCTGGGGAGATAAAAAGTTAGCACTCCAGCCGGGCTCGGTGGCTCAGCCTGTAATCCCGCGCCTTTGGGAGGCTGAGGCGAGTGGATTGCCTGAGCCCGCGGGTTCGAGACCCGCCTGGGCAGCGAGACCTCATCTCTACAATAAATCAAAAAATCAGCTGGGCGTGGTAGCATGCGCCTGTAATTCCGGCTACTTGGAAGGCTGAGGCGGAAGGATCGCCGGAGCCCAGCAGGCGAGGCTGCAGTGGCCGGGAGCGGCCACTTCACTCCAGTCTGGGTGACAGAGTGAGACTCCAACTCAAAAAAAAAAAAAAAAAAAAAAAAAAAAGTTAGCACTCCAAAATGCTACACACCAGCAATTAGTTGCTCATTGATAAGGCCTTAGGGGAACCCCATTACAAAACTGCTCAATCCTCAGCCATTAATGCTCATTGGTAAGGCCTTGGGGGAACTTCCATTACAAAACTGCCTAATCCTCTGCTGGATGCGGTGGCTCATATCTGTAATCTCAGCAATTTTAGAGACTGAGGTGGGAGAATAGCTTGAGCCCAGGAGTTCGAGACCAGATTGGGTAACATAGTGAGACTTCAACTCTACCCCAAAAAAAGGTCAAAAATATTTGATGGGTGTGGTGGCATGTGCCTGTAGTTCAGTTACTGGGAGGCTGAAGAAGAAGGATCATCTGAGCCCAGGAGGTCTAGGCAGCAGTGAGTGGTAATTGTGCCATTGCACTCCAGCCTTGGTAACAGAGTGAAACTCTGACTCAAAGAAAAAGAAAATTGTCTAAGACTCTTGGTCTGAAATGTAGTTTTCTAGACATTTGTGGCAGCATTTCAGGACAAGGGACATTTGCTCAAGCAGTATAAGGATGGGTTAAGGGAGATATCATCCCACGGGAAATGGGAGCTCAACTGAGAAGTTTCTCAAGACACTTATCAGCCAAATATCAGAGGCCAAGGGGGCTGGTCACAGCAGAGTGTTCCAGGTGGCATCATCTTTTCTGGGAGTTCACTATCCTGTCAGCAGTCGACATTGTGACAGGTGGCAGGTGGCCCTAAGATCTAATCCCATGAGCCACATGTAAATCTGAAAGCAAGTCCAGTGTACATTTCTAGGGAAAGCAGATGTCTGTTTGGGCTGGGTTGTTATTGTTTTGCTGTGAACAAGTTAATACCTCATCACACCCATTTTCTCACTTACAAAGAAGTGGGAGGAGCAGAAAGACAAGACTCCTTGGCCTTGGAGTAAATAAGCCTGCAGGCAGCCTGTGATGGTCACATGGTGGGACACGGGTCCTGCCCGTAGTGTAGGGACTGGCCTGGAACATTCAGTACACAGTGGTCCTCACTGATAACCAAGAGTAGGGAGCTGCTATTGGAGTGCCCCAGGATCCTCAAGGCCTGCCAGGGGCTCCTAGGCTAGGAGAGGCTGCCGTTGGCATCTGAGGAGCTCTAGAGTTCCCCTGCTGGAGAGCTGCTTGCCTCCTTGCCTGCCTTTGTAGCTGGAGGCTTGGAACAGCCAGCATGAGTTCCACCAGTTCACAGAACACACTTAAAAGGCTGCACTCTCTTGCCAATGTGTAAGGATGGCTACTGCCATCCATTGTACGGGAGAGGTCAGGGATTGCCTGGGACCACTCAGCCAGCCCCATGCCTTCATCCTGCTGTGCTGGAAGCCTGCAGCCCCTAGTCCAGGTGGTGTCCAACTGTGTGGAGTACATATGTCGGGGTGAGGGATGAAGGAGAGTGTCTGCTGCGATGGAAAGAGGATGAACTCCACACCCCCACACCTGGCACTGAATCTCCCCCAGGTGGTCTGGCTAGTCCCTCTTCTGTGAATGGGTCACACGGACAGGGCATCCCTAGAGCATGGTGTGCTGCAGTGGAGACCTTGGGAGCCCTGGGCAGGGTGGGCTCTCCGAGCCTGTGGCGGCGGGTGGGGCCACGTGCCGGGTGGGGCGCCTGAGGACGGGGGCGGGCCCTGCGCCGTCGGCGCGGGCGGGCGGAGCGGGCGCAGCGCAGAGCGGCGGCCGCGGTGGCGACAGCAGGTGGGTCGCAGCGGGCGCTACCGGGACCGGCTCAGGACAGAGAGCAGGCGGAGTCTCAGGTGTCTGGGGACGTGGCGCGGCGCAGCTGGTTCGGGCGGCTGCGGCGTGCGGGGCTTGGGTGGTGCGTAGCTGGCTCTAGGGCGTAGGGCCCAGGGCCCTTACATTCCGCCTGGAGCGCTGATATCCCTGCCTGGTGGCGGGGCAGGTGTGGGAGTGGGGAGTTACCGGGAGAAGACGGGTGGGGGCGGGTGTGTGTGGGTGGCAGGGGGAAGTGTTGCACGCCAGTGTCGGAGGCCAGGTGACTGCCAGGGCCACGCCCGCCCCGGGCGGCTCTGTTCCGGGTCCTGGCCATGTTTCACTCGATCCTGGATCCCAACCACTGGCTGTCCCCCCCGCCCCCCTCCCCCTCGTTTCCTCGGGCTACCCCCTCCCCATCCTCAAGGCCAACGGGCAGGTGCCCAGGTGTGGCTCCACCAGCCTCCTCTGCGGCCTGGGAAGCAGACCAGACCTCCATGCTTCCTTGCCACCTCCTGCATGCAGGCCCTGAGCCCTGTTCCATCCCAGCCCACCAGCAGGCCAATGGTGTGGGTGCCCAGGTCTCCAGGGCAGGGACAGAGAGAAGACTGAGGGTGGATGCTCCAGGAGGGACCGAAGGATGGCCAGAACCCAGCTGGTCATTCTGTCATTCCCTTCTAGCCCTAGTAAGTTCCAACAGCTGGTTTGGTGCTCTTGTCAGCCACCTGCCATGGTCCGGGGACTGCCCAGTGCTGCCAGCGTGGCACGCTTCTGCCAGAAGTTGAACCGGCTGAAGCCGCTGGAGGAGTCCACCATGGAGACGTCACTGCGGCGCTGCCTGTCCACGCTGGACCTGACCCTGTTGGGTGTGGGTGGCATGGTGGGCTCAGGCCTCTACGTGCTCACAGGCACTGTGGCCAAAGACATGGCCGGCCCCGCTGTGCTCTTGTCCTTTGGTGTGGCCGCCGTGGCCTCCCTGCTGGCGGCCCTATGCTATGCAGAATTTGGGGCACGAGTGCCCCGCACGGGCTCTGCCTACCTGTTCACCTATGTATCCGTGGGTGAGTTGTGGGCCTTCCTCATTGGCTGGAACGTGCTCCTTGAATACCTCATTGGTGGCGCTGCTGTGGCCCGCGCCTGGAGTGGCTACCTGGACTCCATCTTCAGCCATGGTATCCGCAACTTCACTGAGACCCATGTGGGTGTCTGGCATGTGCCCCTCTTGGGCCACTCCCCAGACTTCCTGGCTGCTGGCATTATCCTTCTGGCCTCTGCCTTTGTCTCCTGTGGAGCCCGAGTCTCCTCCTGGCTCAACCACACCTTCTCGGTCCTCAGCCTGGTTGTCATCCTCTTCATTATCATCTTGGGCTTCATCCTGGCCCAGCCCCACAACTGGAGTGCTGAAGAGGGTGGCTTTGCACCCTTTGGCTTCTCTGGTGTCATGGCCGGCACTGCCTCTTGCTTCTATGCTTTTGTGGGTTTTGATGTCATTGCTGCCTCCAGTGAGGAGGCCCGGAACCCACGGCAGTCTGTGCCCTTGGCCATTGCCATCTCGCTTAGCCTGGCAGCTGCTGCTTACATCCTTGTCTCCACTGTGCTAACCCTCATGGTGCCCTGGCATAGCCTGGACCCTGACTCCGCGCTTGCCGATGCCTTCTACCGGCGAGGCTACAGCTGGGCTGGCTTCATTGTGGCGGCTGGCTCCATCTGTGGTAAGAGGCCTTTCCAGGCAGGGTGGTGGGGAACAGAGCAGTGGGGCCCTGCCCTGACCTTCCCAGGGAACATACTTCCATCTGGGCCTCAGTTTTACCAGTTGCATAAAGGGTTCAGGAAAGTGCTAATTATTAGTAATTCTCTGCCCAGGCTTGTTGATAGGGGCCTCCCTGAAAATGTTCCATAGAATGTTAGTTCTGGGCATGTGCTCATAGGTTATTTTCTGGGCAGAGGGACTTGATTGTCATCAGATTCTCCAATGGGCCTGTGACCCAAACCAGAGTGTCCCATCCCTGGGCAGGGGGGCTGACAATCCAATACCTCCCTCCCTCTTCATGCTCACTCTGAGAACACAAACTCATGCCCATGCTCCCAGGAGACCCCCATGCCCTGGCCCCCAGGAGAGGCCCTGGTGGGCTCCTCTACCATGCTGACCCTGCCCTGCCCTCTGCCACAGCTATGAATACTGTCCTCCTCAGCAGCCTCTTCTCCCTGCCACGCATCGTCTATGCCATGGCCACCGATGGGCTCTTCTTCCAAGTGTTTGCTCGCGTGCACCCCCGGACGCAGGTGCCTGTGGTGGGCATCCTGGTGTTTGGGTTCCTCACAGCCCTCTTGGCGCTGCTGCTGGACCTGGAGGCGCTGGTCCAGTTCCTGTCCATTGGCACACTGCTGGCCTACACCTTTGTAGCTGCCAGCATCATTGTGCTGCGCTTCCAGAAGGCTTCTCCACCCAACTCCCCAAGCCCGGCCAGTCCTGGCCCCCTAACCAAGGAGCACAGTTCCTTCTCAGACCACATTCAGCTGGTGGGTGCCGTGCAAGCCGCCGTCTCTGAGCCAGGAGAGGTGCGACTGGCCCTGAGGCCCTACCTGGGCTTCCTGGAAGGATGCAGCCCTGGAGCAGCTGTGACATGGGCACTCAGCATCCTGGTGGCCTCAGCCATCACTCTGGGCTGCGTGCTGGTCTTCGGGGGCTCGGCCCTGCAACTCTCGCGCTGGGCCTACATCCTGCTGCTCCTGCTCAGCAGTGTCGTGTTTCTGCTCAGCCTCCTCATCCTATGGGCTCACCAGCAGCAACACCAACAAGACACGTTTCAGGTACCTCCCCCAGCTATCACGGCTTGTGCTCAGCCCCCTCCTCCTCTGCCATCCCAGAATGGACAAGGGCTCCCAGGGTTGGAGAGGCCAAGACATCCATCCCACAACTCTTTCTGCGTGGGGAGTGAGTATGTCTCTCCAGACTCTCAAGAGAGAGAGACAGGCTCTGTGAACTGCTGTGAGATCAGGCTGTGGGCTGGCAGATCTTTCCTGCAGCCCAGCTCAGCCCAGCCCTGTCCTGCCTTCCCTAGATTCCCATGGTGCCCCTGACTCCAGCCCTGAGCATCCTCCTCAACATCTGCCTCATGCTGAAGCTCAGCTACCTCACCTGGGTGCGCTTCTCCATTTGGCTGCTAATGGGTGAGTGGGGACCAAGCTGGAACCCTGAAGGGGTCAGGAGGAGAGCAAGGAGGGCACACAGGACTGGGGCCTGCCCCTCAGGTTCATTTCCCCACTCCCACCCCATGCAGGACTCGTCGTGTATTTTGGCTATGGCATCAGGCACAGCAAGCAGAACCAGCGGGAACCTCCAGGCCTGGCCACCACACACTATGTGGTGTTCCCCGGGGGCAGCCTGGAGGAGATGGTGCAGGCTGTGCAGCCCCCCAGCCAGGCACCAGCCCAGGAGCCTGGCAGCACGGAGTAGCTGGCTGGCCCCCATCCTCGGGAGGCCAGAGGGGCTGGGAGCCCCTTTTCTACCTGGGGCAGCTTGGGTCTGCAGGGCCGCTCAGGCTGGGGATCCTCAGGACCTTAAGAACTTCACCCAGGTGCTGAGCTTGGGGTCTTCAGGAATGGGCCTGGGCCAGCACTGGTGCGGTGGACTCTTGGCTCAGTGCCTTTCTATTTATGACCAACTCCAGCTACCTGGGAAGGTGGGAGGGGGGCCTGCGGGAAGGAGGCCCACAGCCTCGGGGATGCATAATAATAATTGCTTAGCCAGCCATGTGGCCTGCTGTGTGTCCACTGTGGCATTCTTTGTGACATAAAATGAGTCTTTACCTGCCCCAGGGAATCAGGCAATTGTCTCCAATCCACATCAAAGACACTGAGGCTCTGCAAAGGGGAGGTGCCAGTCCTGGGACCATGCTGACTCAGGGACATGGGCAGGACTAAATCCAGGTGTCCTCTCTGATCAGTGCCTTCTGACCTGCTCAGGGGGAGCTACACGTGCCAGGCAAGTTGGGGTTCATGTAGGATCAGGCTCTCCACAAGTCTGCTAGGGGGCAGATCCAGGTAGGAGAGCCTGGGTCCCAAAGAGGCAACCTAGAAAGGGCAGTGGGGTTCCAGGGTCCCCTTGGTTTCCCAGGGCTCCCAGAGAGCATGGTATATGCCTGAGGCCTTCCCTGGGAACATACACACCCACACAGGCACACATCCACATGGGCATACCCACTCCTGCGGACACCTGCCCAAATGGCCCACATGACTACCCTGGGGGTGCAGGCCTGCGTAGACTGAGGTGACAACTGCCACTGCACATATGGTCCTTATGCTCCTGTGTGTACATGAGTGTTTGGGCCTCCTCCAGCTACTTTCCTGCCCACCTGTAGGCTGTAGGGCCTCGATCCTGGATGGGTTCCCAGGAAAGCCCCAGGCCTGCCCCTGTTCTCCCCATGGCTATGTGTGTCCACTGTGGTGCTTCTCCCTTCCCACTCCTACCAACAAGGACTATACAGGAAGCTGCTGGTTTTGTTGACTTTACTCCTCGACTTTCTCCAGCTGAGACACCAGCTTTTCCTGGGCTCCAAGGACAGCCAGGTACATGTGACCTTCCTTGGATACCCAGGTCTCATGGGCCATAGTTCCCCCCAGCCCTTCAGGCCCATCTCCTCATGGACATGGCTCTGGGGACTTAGAGACAGCAGGGACCCCAAAGACTTTGCTGAGGTTCCAGGTGCCAGAAGATTCTAGGTACCAGTCCAGCCTCAGCCCCAACCATGACCCTTCTCAGCATGCCCTGATCACTAGGTACCCCTGATTGAAAGTAATCCCTCACCTCCCTAAAGTGGATTCTCCCAAATCCTGCCCCACCCTGCCCCACCTTGACTCCTGCAGCCCTGCTCCTCCCATCCTGATTGGCCCTGGGGCATGGGTAGGGCTCAAGACCCTAGGAGGATCTTAGAGGCCTGTCAGAGACCTCAGTGTCCTTTTTTAGGGACATTCCTTCCAGCCATTCTACTCTCCCTGGGGTCAGAGTCGGTCCTCCCACATGCAGCTGCCCAGACAGGTTTCTAAAGTGACTTGGACTGCAGTGAATTTCAAATGTCCAGCCTCCCCATCCCCAGAGCTCCCAGGAAGCCTGGTGAACAGGGGTGGAGGGAAGTCACTGAAGAGGTACATAGAAGGTCCCAAAGGACTAAATGACCACCAACTCAGCTACCTCTCCAACTGCTACCCTCTCCTCCCTGTCCTAGCCCTCATAAGCTGAGCAAGTGTGGGCACAACAGGTGCCTACACTACTGCCTGGCAGGCTGGATCATCTGCCTTCCCTACTCCATCTAGGGATGAAGACCTGCCCCAGGGCAAGCCAGGGGCAGAGCAGCTGAAACAATCCCCATCCTCTCCCCAATCAGGCCTCTTTCTACCTGGCCTTTGGTTCTGCAGGCCTGCCCAGGCTGGGGGTCCTCAGGACCTTAAGAACAGCTGCAGGGCAGCTGAGCAGGTAGGGTCTCTACCTACAGTGGGGGTGCAGGCAGGGGGAAGAGGGGGAGGAACCAGGCAGAGTAAGGAATGTGCTGGCCGTTGCTGAGCGGACCTCTGGTAGGAACGTTGGGAACAGAGTCTCGGAGCGAGAGCGCCAGACTCAAATGTAGCAGGAGCCCCACTGGATAGCACCCTACCCTGCGGGCACACCGGACTCTCCCAGTCTCTATGGCTTAGGTCTTTACACAAAATTGGCTTCTAACTGAGCAGGGCATGGTGGTGCACACTGTAGTTCCAGCTACTCTGGAGGCTGAGGTGGGAGGATGGTTTGAGCCCCAGGAGTTGGAGGCTGCACTGAGCTATGATCATGCTACTGCACTCCAGCCTGGGTGACAGAGCAAGACTGTTTCTAAGAAACAAAACAAAACAAACAAAAACTCTTGGCTTTTGTGGCTCTCCAGGAAGGCTGGAGCCAGGAAGGGACCATCTACTTGGGAGATGGAGGGTAGAATTCTTCCCCTAGCACCTGGGTCCTGCTGGGGCTTCATTCCTGAGATTCCCCCCTCTCCTCCCATCCCCCAGCTCCCAACCAACAGGGAAAATCTATAGGCCACAGGAATTCGCCAGTGAGTGGGTGCCAGAGCCCGGGCAGGGCCACCCTGGTGTCGGTGTCTGACTTCCAGTAGCAGGGGCCACGGGGGCAGATGCTGGGCCCTGTCTGAGGCACCTAGGCAGCTGGGCTTGGGATGCAGAAGCCAGTGTGCCCCACATAGAGTTGGCAGTTGCCTTCGGGGCCTTTGCCTGCAAACAAGGAAAGCAGGTCAGGGATTTGACCAACATCCCTTGAAGTGTGGCTGAACCCAGAATCCAGGCAGGGCAGCCCCAGCTCAAGGACCCTGGCAGGCCCACAGCTCACCTCCTCATACTTGGTCCTCCAGTAGAAATGGGCTTCTCTGTCCACATACAGCAGCAGCAGGTCACAGAGGAAGGTGACCTGGAGAGGCAGGGCCGACCCATGTCCTAGTCCCCCACCCTGTCTTCCTGTCACCTCCCCAGCCTTCTCCCTAAGACTCAATGTGCAGGCACGGGGGCTCAGGCATGCATTTGGGCAGACCCAGGCTGGTGCTTCTGCAGCCTGAGATCGCCCATGGTGCTCAGACTCACCACGCCCAGCCAAGCAGCTCCAGTGCCTAGAGTAATGGCCGTGGGGATAAGGCCAAACTTCCCTGCCTGAGAGAGACATGGATTGAGCCTCTTGGGTCATGACTGTCACCTTGTGCTTCCTCCAGCCCCATCTGCCTGGCCCTCCTGCCACCAGCCCCACTCCTATTCGATCCGACCTGCCCAGTGACAAGGATGTCGAAGCGGATCCCGTAAAGCTTGAGCAGGCTCCGGGCCTCCACACCTGGGTGTTCCCACCAGTAAGTGGCTGTCCTGCAGGCAAGAGAGGGTTCCAGTGGTCTGCTCTGCCCTTCCCCAGGCAGGGCTGGTTCTGCCAGGCCTCTGTCTCTCTTATCCACTGACTCCATAAACATCCGCCCCAAGCCTGAATCCTGGGTCTCATCCCTGTGTCATTGCTGAGAAAAGGGGGAAAGGAAACTGAGACTGGCCTCTCAAAAGCCTTCTGCCTGCTGAGAGGGCAGGGGACAGACAGGTCTCCAAACAGACACCAGCACTGGGGGATATCAGATGAAGGGATGGAGCAGGCTCAGGGATGTAAGAGCCCAGAGGTGGGAAGTCAAATTTGGAACTCACTGTCTCCTGGGAACGGGGTGGGCTTCCTGGAGGGAGACATCTGAGGTGGGCATGGAAGAACATGCATGTGGGTAGTCTGCCAGCACAGAGGTGTGAGGAGAAGGAGCCAGCCCCAGTGGTTGAGAAGAGCCGAGGCAGTCAGGGAAGCCAGACCAGGCCTGGTGCACGGAGCTATATCAAGGGGCATCATCCACAGGCCTGGTGGCCATATGTGGCCTTGCATATGCCTGCATGCATGATGAGGTGTTCCTAGGTGGCAGAAGGATCCTGGGGGTCCACTTAGAAGACTCAAAGGGCCGGGCTCAGTGGCTCATGCCTGTAATCCCAGCACTATGGGAGGCTGAGGCAAGAGGATTGCTTGAGCCCGGGAGGTGGAGACCAACCTGGGCAACATAGCAAGACCCTGTCTCTATTTTTAAAAAATGGTAATAATCGAAATAAAACAATAAAAAAAAGACTCAAAGACAATGGGCACAGTGGCTCATACCTGCAATCCAAACATTTCAGAAGGCCAAGCAGGAAGATTGTATGAGCCCACAGGTTCAAGACCAGCCTGGGCAACATAGCAAGACTTCATCTCTACAAAAAATCAAAAAATTAGCTGGGCATTGTGGCAGGTGCCTGTAGTTCCAGATACCTGGGAGGTTGAGGCAGAAGGATCTCCTGAGCCCAGGAAGTTGAGGCAGCAGTCAGCCATGATTGTGCCACTTCACTCCAGCCTGGGTGACAGAGTGAGACCCCTAACCAAAAAAGAAAAGACTCAAAGACACAACAATAAACTTAATGAAAGATCCTTGAGTGCATCCTGGATCGGAACATACAAAGATTTATCACCACTATTGGCACAGTTGGGGAAATTTAAGTATTAGATATATTCTGCCATTAGTCAATTTCTTGACTGTAACAAGAGGACAGTAGTCATGTGGGGAGGGTCTCTGTTCTCAGGACATTGAGAAGGATGAGTTTTTGGATATCTACCACCTGCTTTCAAGCATTTCTGTTTGAGACCGATCAAACTATATCCAGCTCACTCTAGACAAGGAGAGAAGGCAAATTCTACCAGATTGTAAAAACTGGTAAACCTAGATAGAGGGTAAATGGGTGTCTGCGGTACAAGTGTTTGAACTTTTCTAGAGATATTTGAAAAATTGAATATATAGATAAAAGCTGAAGGGGAAAGTAAAAACAAAAGCCCCATGTCATTGATGGGAGATGCTGGAGGCAGGGTTGGGTGGAGGAGGGTCTGGAGGTGAGAAGCCTGAGCTGGAGTGGGGAGGTGCAGGGCTCAAGAGGAGGCTGAATGGTGCCTGTGGGAGATTACATGGGGGCTAAAAATAACACCCCCTCCTGCTCCTGGAACTCCCCCCCCCATACACACAGTGGAACATTCCAAGGGCTGGGCCTGGTGTGGTCTGTCCTGGCTACCATGGGGAGATGGGTAGAGGGGATACAGCCAGGCATGGGGACAGTGGGGGATGCACCTGAAGTTGTAGCTCCTCTCCTGCAGCTGGAAGGAGTAGTGGGGCCGGCAGTCAGAGCCTCCGGTGTCCAGGTCACAATCCCAGTGGATACTGATGCCCACAGAACCACCCTGCACACAGCACATCATTGCTTTACCAGTGGTTGGGCCCAGGACATTCTCTAGAGCCCTCTGGGAACTCTGCCCCCTGAGGACCTACCAGCAACGCCAAGTCCTCAAAGTCCCCTCCAGCCTCGGCCACAAGGTCTCCGATGCGGAACACGGGGCAGTAAGGGCTGGAGTGTGGATCATAGCGGCAGCATTTGAAATAGGTGGGGTCCCAGGTCTCCAAGGTATTGGACCTGGGAGGGGCCAGGAGGTGGGGTAGTAAGAAGGGGCAGGGGACAGGGAAGGTCTGGGGCCAGTCAGGACCAGCAGGGACTTCCCCCTCCTTACTTGGAGAAGTTGAACTTGCTGAAGGTGACAGTATTTTTGATGAACAGTGTGAAGTTCTGAGCCTGGACCAGTAGGGGCCGCCTGTGAGTAGAGGGGAGGTGAGGGCTTCTGCCAGGCCTGAGCCCTGTGCTGGGGTCAGGGGTGTTGGAAGGGACACGTACGTGGGTACGGCACTGCTCTCCACTGGGCACCAGCTCAGGATCTCACAGGTCCTGTGGGTCCCGTTGAACACGACACACTGTCCTGTTTTCATGCCTTGGAAACACAAGATGAACTCTAGGCCCTCAAATCTCCACAGGGCTTGGAGAAGGTATGGGCCGGGGGAGAGGGGAGGGTTGTGAATTGTTGGCAGAATGGAGATACCCAGACAGTGACGCAGTCAGGAGCCGCCCAGGGTCCCAGCCTGGCCCCCCACCCTGGCAGAGGCACTGGAAGAGCCCAGTTACCGTGGCTGTGCGTGCCCATCTCCCCTTCAGGGCAGTCCTTGTCGGCCCAGCAGGTAGCCAATGGGATGGAGGGGTGCTGAAGTGGAGCACATGAAGACAGCAATGTCACCAACGGTCCAGAGGAGGTCTCCCATCTGTGACCCAGCCTCACATTCTGCAAGGACACACTCCTGCCCACCCTAGCTCCCCACAGGGTACCCTGAGTTTGTGACCTCAAGGGAAAGCTGGAGGGTTCAAATAAAAAGAAGCGGTTGAGGGTTGGGGGAGGGCAACAGCCTCCTGGGCAGATGGGGTTATGGGTGCTATATTCCAAAGGAAAAGTCAGACTTCTTCCTACCAAAGGGTGAGCACAGAGTGACTCTTTTCAGACAAGCTCCTCTGGTCCAGTTTGTACAACAGAACAAGGAGGGAGAAGGGACCTTGGGAAGGGTAAGTTCAGGATGCTCGGCATGCTGGGTGGAGGTGCAGGGTGTGGTGACAAAGAGCTGGATGCTAAAGTCCCAGGACCCCATGCACTTGCTGAGGGACCGCAGCTACTCCTTCCCTGATTGCTCTTCTGTAAGACAGGAATGAACAGGAATTGATGCCTGCAGAAGTACAGAGTTATGGGGATCTGCCAGAAGGAAAGTGGGTGAGCTTTCTGGGGGTTCTAGGGAAGAAGGCACCCTTGAACTTCAGGTGCTCTCACAGACATGGTCCTGCCCTGGTCAAGGATGGTCATTGCTGCCCAGGCCACTCAGCTCAGGGCAGCAGGAGGAACATAGCACCAGGGTGGCAAGAGAGGCTGGGGACCTCTGAGAAGCCAGAATGAGATAGAAGGAAGGGGGGACTAAGATGAAGTGGGCAGAGGACAGAGTAGAACCACCTGCTCTGCTTCCCTGTCCCTACCTGTGTCTTGAGTCAACCTCTCCAGTCCACCCCAGCTGGGCCACTGTCTCCTCCAACCTAACCCACTCAGACCTCGGGGCCTCCACTTCTGCCTCTGTCTTCATCCAACTCCCTGCAGCAGCCTAAGTGGGGCATCCCAAGGTGTAGGAGACTGAGCATCCCTACCCTGAGCCCATCCCGTGGCTTCCTTCGGCTTCTGTGATCAAGTCCAGCTCCTTAGTGGAGCTCACAGAGCCCCTGAGATCTCGAGCTGCCCCTTTCCTGCCCCATCAAACCACACTCAGCAACAGGTAGCCCCTGAGACACCTCACCTCACATAACCCAAGGCCCTTGCCCATGCACTGCCCCTGCCTGGAAATCCTGTTCCAACTAAATCTACCTGCTCATCAACTTCTCCTTACTCTTTAAGATTCTGCTCAAGTGCCTCCCTGGGTCCCCCAGCTACAGCCTCTGTCCCTATCGGATGACCTGCCACCTTGGGTGGGCTGTCCATGAAGGTGTTCCTTGAGGTACAGGGGATGAAGTTTTGCAAGCTCACACAGCCTGCTGGCCCAGGGGGAGGCTCACAGGTGTTTGCTGAAGGAGGTGACATTATAAGGAACGTGCTGGGAGCGACCAGGCCACCAAGATCCCAGGAGGAGCTGGCAGGAGCTCTGGTTATTCTCAGGAAGCTAGGTTGTCAACCAGCCTCAGTCCTCAGTAGTTTCACGGGAAGAGCCAGAAGTTCAGACACGGACAAAGTGGAATCGCACAGAGGCTTCTGGGTAAACAAACTTACCTCTGGGCATCTGCCCTGAACTTGGGCTGCTGTCACAAGGAAATTGGTCACCAAGAAGAACACGTTCTCTCCCTAGGAGGCAAGGCTCAAAGTTGGCTCCTGCTTGGCTCCCCCAACCGGAAAGTCCAGAAGCTGGCAGCCTGGTTTGTGAGGAAAGGGGTATTGGCTCCATCTAACCACCAACACTGTCCCCCAGAAGAATGCTTCCAGTAAGGCCGGTGGAAGCAGAGATGGGAGGCTGACTGAGCTTCTGGCCATTTCTGAGTCCAGGGAACCTTATGCCCACATTCACTTTTTTGAGATAAGATATTTTTCTCACATTCACTTTCATTCACTCAACCAGAATTTTCTAACAGCCTCTTGCTTTTAGGCACTGAAGATCCAGAGGTGAGTTGAGCCGAGTGCCTGCCCCAGCTGTAGGGCAGGCAGATCCCCCCCACCCCCACCCCATCACAGGTACAGAAGCGCTGGTACAGCAGAGGTCAGTGGAGCAGATGGTGAGCTTTGCCTGAGGTCAAAGTGTGGCCAAGGACATTTGGAAGGGGTTCTGGCATCCCAGTGCTGCTTGTGAGAGCACTGTACATTTGGAGAATGGGTGCCCAGGAAGGGAGGACAGTGGGTGGGGCAGCAGTTAGGCTATACAGGGACTGGAGCCAGCCTCATGAGAGGGAAGCCTTCCTAAGGTAGACAGCAGGGGCTGCAGGCTCTGATGATAGTGTAAAAGTGCAGCCTGGCTGCTGTGTGGTGTACACCCAGGGTAGGGAGTGGGTAACAGGAGGCGTTAAAGGGCCCACTAGGAGATCACAGGTTCAGCCAGGCATGGCATGGGCAGTAGTGAAGAATGTCCGGAGGGATGGGAAAGGGTGGAGGCTGAGTCCTGGGTCTGGCTTTGTCACTGGTGAATGCCACAGCCCCCATTGAGTGAAGAGAGGCCATGCCAGGAGACAGAAATGATTTTTCTTTGACCTGGTGGGTGTGCATCTGCAAGGCAGCTATGCTTGAGGCAGGTGGTTACTGGGGCTACAATTTAGGCACCAACAGAAAAGAGATGCCTAAATTGAGACTGCAGATGAGCTGGGTGGAGGGAAAAAAGAAATGCAGTCCTAGAGGGGCACAGGAGGAGAGCCCTAGGTCAGGGAGGAGGAACTTCAGGGAGCTCCAGGCCCCGCCTTCCCCCACACCCCTTTCACTCCACTCTCATGCTCAAGCCTGGAGTTCCAGACATCCCACTCTTTTCTGGATGCAGCCTTTGTAAATGCCTTTCCTTTGGCCTGGCTTCTGACCCAGTTCCCTGTCCACCTAGAAGTCTCCATATTCTTGAAAGCCTGTAATGTGGTACTCCTCTGTGAGGCCCTTCCTGAGCCCCTCCAGTTGCCTCTGGCATCACATGCCTCTCTCTTGCACACATTCACTGCAAGTGTCCAAGCTGTCAACTGGCACCCCAGCAGCAGCACAAGGGACCCTACCTGTGGTGGTTTCACGAAGTCGGCCACATCCCACAGACGATTCCCAAGTTCCTTGATCTGGGTCACAGAAACCCCTTTGAGTTTGGTGATAACAGAAATCTGAGGGTCCAGGTCCCGCTCCTGGTAGCCTTTTTTGGCCAGGAGAGCCCACCTGGGGAAGAGATGATGGGCAGTATGGTGTGTCCCCAGCACTCAGTGACCAGTGGTGAAGCTGGGCCCTACATGCTCAGCTTGCTCCCCACACACTCTCTATAGTCTCCCATCCAGCGTCTAGGCCCTGCCTCCTCTCCAGCTTCATTTCCCACTCCAGACCCTTTCAACTGGCCAGAAACTCTGGTCATACATCAGAGAGCTAGTGCCCTCAGATTACCACCTTCACCAGCCAACAACTCCCCACCCAGCCTCAGCTAGACCCAGCTCCCTCCTTAATGACTCCCCTGACTCCTAGCTAGAACTGGTGGTCTCTCTTGGGAAGTTTACTGATACAGCTCTCACAAATGCCAAGGACTACCTCCTGCCCCACCAGAGCACCCCCTGGTCAAGGTTGGGGCCCATCCTGCTCCGTGCCTACAGCTCAACACGGGAATGGGGACAAGGCCCTGGGAAGGAGACAGGTGGGCACACAGGACAAAGCACCCCGCCTCATTCCAAATTGCCACCCTCCCCCACGCCCCCCTCCAGTGGCCCTAAAGAGCCAAACCCTCAACCTAGCAGGACCAACCATGATCCCCCCTGCCAAGCCGGCCAAGAGCTCGTGTCTCTTACCCCACCACATAGGCCACGATCCCGAGCTGCAGCAGCCTCTGCAGGGCACCCACCCGCCAGTTCCTGGTCATCACATATTTTTCTGTCTTGTAATTTAAAAGCCCCCAGCCTGCCGCGGCCCCTAGGGAGCCCATGCTCCCAGCTCCTGCTGGCTGGCAGCGCATGAGTCAGCACAGCAGCTGCAGCTACAGCTGAGTAGGAGGCAAACCAGGCTCCAGAGCCAGGCCAGCCTTTGTTAAAGAGACACTTCCGCTCTGGCAGGGTCCAGCACCCTCCCCTCCCCACCCCCAGCTCTCAGTCTCAAACCCCAGTTACTCTGGGGCTCCCATCCTCTCCAGATTCCCTCTCCTGGGGCCCTGGCACACAGAGAGGGACAGCCATGTCCCTGCCCTCTGGCCTTAGAAAGAGAGGGAGAGAGAGAAAAAGAACACTAAGTGCCGCGGTGATAGGGTGACCTGGCTATGCGAGGTCTCCCATGCCCTCCCGTGGAGCTGTCCCCATGTCCTCAAGTACAGTGACTAAAGCACAAGCGCTGGAGTCAGGCTTTTCCCAGTCGGTGAAAGGGGGTGATGCTAGAACCTCACGGGATGCAAGTAGATCGACCTCCGCAGGGCGCACAGCCCCGTGCGGGGACCAGGGCTCGAGCTCTCATCGCGTTGGCTAACAGCCGGCACCATATTAGCGTAGACGTGTGGTTTTTAATTTCAGCAACCGACAACACAAGGTTGCCCGGGCGACCGCCGCAGGAAGCACGTCGCTATTGGCTGCAGTGGGCGCCTGTGGCTGTACGCCACATTCTATTGGATAGTGCAATCGGGGAATCCGCTTTCATCCCGCGGTCGCGCTGTTGCGGCGGCGCCACGCTGTCCCGGCCTCAGTGCCAGCCACTGCGAAGTGGGCGTAACTATGTGGGGTCCCTGTGAGAGGTCTGGGGGGAATGAAGAGCCGGTAGCAGAAGCAGCCGCGGCCGCTGGGCTTCTTGCAGGGGTCTCGAAGGCCGAGGAAGGTTCAGATGCGGATTCAGACTCTGACCTGAAGACAGAAGGTGTCCCAGAGCGGGGGTGGGGCATTGGGGGTGGCGGCAGGCGGGCTGGCCGAGTGGGTAGGGGGGTTGGGGACCCCTGTCCAGCTAGCGTGCACCCCTCGTTGAGGCGCCTTCAGGGCAGCCAGCAGCTCCTTGGTCCTGTGCCCTCCTCTTAGTGCTTCTAGAGCTTCAGGAGTCCTAACCATTAGCGCATACTTCTAGAACGATTAAAAAAGAAAGAAAAGGAAAACCGAAAGATAATGTACCAGGGAGTGTCCTCCCCTCAAATTGGATCACAGTGGTGTTTTCCCAGCCCAAAGGAAAAACTCAACTAATGGATGTATAGAATTATTTCCATTTTTAGCCACATAACATGTTCATAAAACATTTGTGGCCTGCAATCTAGGGTAAAAGAGACAATATGCACTTTAGCTTCAGACTGGCAGAGTCCTAATCCTGTCTCAGTCAGGATTAGATACCACTAGTTGTGTGGCTTTTTAATTTTAGCCATTCCAGCTTTCTTTTGTTAGCTATGTGACTTTGAGGAAAGAGTTTGCTTTCTCTGACCTCGATGTCTTTGTCTGTAATATGGGGGCAGTAGTTCCAGCTAGTATAGGAAGAAATGCCTCTGGAGGAGAAACAGGCCAGGTAGTGACAGAAGACAGGGGCAAGGCAAGTGGCTGTGCCTGTGAACGGGTCCACATTCATCCTCCTGTCTCCTACCAGGTACCCATGGGCTTGGAGAACTGGTCAGGGACACCCTATACCTGAAGTCTTGCCAGGTCCATAGCGTTGTGCCTATCTCCTGTTTTCTGCGCCAAGGGAGAGCACCAGAGCTGAACCTGCGGCATTGTGGCCTGGGGCCCCAGGTACCACTGGAGGAACAGTGGGTCCAGACTTAGAAGGGGGAAACCCAGGTAACAGCAGCCATGGGAGTGTCCCTCTCTGAGTCCCTCCCGCACATCCTCCACTTCCCTTTGCGCTAGGCATGTCCCCTCCCCCACATCTTGGAGATGGATGAGATAGCGCTATGTCAGAAATTGGCATAAAGGATGGGGAGCCTACAGGCTCTTATCCTGCTGGGTGGTCAGAGGGAGCTCCAGGAGGTGAGATCTGAGTGGAGCTCAGAAGGAGAAGCAGGCGTCCCCCCTGCATGTGGGAAGGGGAGGATACAGAGTGGGCTGAACCCTGGATAATGTGAACCTGGATAGTGGCCAGCTGTGCCTGGAACCCTCAGCACTGGGAAGGACCAGGCCCCTCAGGTCCCTGTGCTCTGTCCCAGGGGGCCCGGGCTCTAGCTTCCTCGCTGACCTCCAATCCCTACATCAAGCGGCTGGACCTTTGGGACAACGGGCTCTGTGGGGCTGGCGCAGAGGCCCTGGCAGGTGCTTTGAGCAAAAACAGCAGTATCTGTGGTAGGTGTTGAGCCTGGGACAGGTGGGCTGACTTGAGTCTTCTCTTTCCCCAGGGATGTGGCCCTCCTAAGCTGGACCTTATCACCTGGGGCCCACTGGTGTTGCTGGGGAATAGGGGAGGGGTCTTTTCCAGGAAGGGGCTCGTGGAGTGGGGTTAGGCCCTCTGCAGTGCACCCAGTGCTGGATATCCCTCCCTTCCTGACCACCCCCTCCCTTGCTGGCCAGCACTTCCCCTGGCATATAGTGGACTCCCAGTGCCTGAATGCAGAGTGGGAGAGTCCTTTGACATAGGGGCGGAGGCCAGGCAGCAGGAGGAGGGTGAGGGCACAGTGGGATATTGGTGGGGCTGGATCCAAATGCCACCTCTACCACCCAAGAGTCAGGTGACCTGGATAAGCAGCTAAACCTCACTGAGCTTCAGTTTCCAATCTGTGAAAAGGCCCCAAAATACCTCTTAGCTCTTGGGGTTGTGGTGAGCATAAAATGAAATTCCATGTGTCAAGTGGTCAGCAGAGTGTCTGGCCCATGTAAGTGTTCCGTGCATGGCCACTTGGGCTATTACTGCCAGTCCTTGTAGTGGGGCAGTGAGGGTGTCTGGCTTCTGGGGGTGGGGGGGGAGTAATATCACTGCCAGGCACAGATCATCAAGAGAGTGGCTGCACCCCATCATGGCATTCTCTACAGCACCATGAGATAGGTAGTTTTAACCTCTTGACAGAGAAGTTTGTGGACCCACAAGAGAAGGGGAGGTCAAGGACCCAGGAGACCCAGCTGTTGGGTGACACAGCCACCATGCAACCCCAGGACAGTCCAACTGCAAGGCCTCTTCCTCTCCCTCTGGCCTGGAGGTTTGAGGAATGGAGGAAGGAGAAGGAGAGTAGTGCTTTGGATCCCACTGACTGAGGACTGGTGCTTGCCCCCAGATGTGGATCTGTCAGAAAACCAGCTAGGAGCAGCAGGAGTCCAGGCCCTCTGTGCTGCCCTCACCATGAGCTGGGCCATAGAGAAGATGCAGCTGTCAGAGAATGGCCTGGAGGAGCAGGCGGCCCAGCACCTTGCTGAGCTCCTATTGGCTCACACAGGCCTGAAATCCCTGGACCTGAGCTATAACCAGCTGAATGACCAAGCAGGTAATGCTCGCCCAGGGGCCACCATGGGACATGAAAGCTCACCTTCCTTGGGCAGGGGTGGGTAGGGTTGGCACACTGAGCATCCCTCAAAGAGCATTCCTGTTCTGGCTCCTGCTTCTCTACCACAGCCACACAGAACTCTTGATTTATTCCATGAATATCTCGTTATCCACTGCTATACATGTCGGGCACTGATTTAGCATTAGGCCAGCTGTGCATCAAATAAGGTCCCTGACCTCAAGAAACACATGTCAATGAGATTATTCTCAGTAATTATTGGTGCTAAAAAATTATACATGGTTCTAGAGAAGAATGGGGAGCCCCTGTTTTAGAGGGCTGACTGGGCTGGACATGGTGGCTCACACCTGTAATCCCAGCACTTCAGGAGGCCAAGGTGGGAGGATTGCCTGAGCCCAGGAGTTTGAGACCAGCTTGGGCAACATAGCAAGACCTTGTCCCTATAAAAAATTATCCAGGTGTGGTGGTGCATGCCTGTAGTCCCAGCTACTTGAGAGGCTGAGGTAGAAGGATTACCTGAGCCCAAGAAGTCAAAGTTGTGGTGAGCTGTGATTGTGCCACTGCACTTCAGCCTGGGCAGCAAAGTGAAACTGCAACTCAAAAAATAAAATAAAGGGGTGGCTAGGGAAGCTTCAGTGAGGAGGTGACATTTAAGCTGAAATATGCAGGGTGGGAAGAAATCAGCCACGGCAAGACCAGAGGGACAGCATTTCAGGCAGAAGAGGAGAGCATGCAGGATTTTTTCCCAGATTGGCAGACACCAGTATGATTAGGTTAATGAGCCAGGATAGAGTGACTAGGCTGTGGAGTGGAGGAGAGAGAGGGATACAGGCTGCAGATCATGGCAAAAGGTGTGAAGATTTTATTCCAAGTGCTGTAGAAGACATGAGTGCAATTCCTTGGTTTCATCGCTCTCGTTTCTCAGGGTCTTTGCACAGGCTGTCTGCTTTGCCTGGAATACACACTTCTACATGCCTGTCCTCAGATGCTCCAATCAATAATGGGAATCACCTGGGACCCTGGGTTAGGAATACAGATTCCTGGTTCTTGGATCTACTGATTCAAACTTGGAAGAATGCCCATGCATTCCAATTTAATGGACACCCCAGAATAATTGTCTGATCTGAAAAGTTCTGGAATCGCTGCTCTGTCTCAAGCAGCTTAGAATGAGGTGGCACCAATCTTGGCCTCTGAAATTAGACTACTAGAGAGTCAGGTTGCTTTCTAAGAAAAGTATAGTGGGAAATCAGTGAAATTAAAAGAGGGTTATTTCAGACTTTGACAAAGTAGATATAGGTGTCTCTCTGGGCCTTCAGTCAGAGGGCAAGTGCCAGGGAGGCAGTAGGGACAGAGGGGCTGGAAGCTGAGACCCTGCAAAAGTTGTATAAACATGAATGTGTTTATACATGGGGGAGGGTGGGTGTTGCCTGGAAAAGGACAGGCTCAACCAGGCATTTTGTTTCTCCGAGTGGGGATCTGTGGGTGGGCCCAATTCCCTTGAGAGGTAAAGAGGCTTGGATCTCAGCGCCCCCATCTGATCCAGGGCAATGGTAGCATCTGCCTAACAGGTTGACTACAAGGTTTGCAGTTGCAAAGGTGTGGAAGAAAGAACCTTCCCACCCTCCAGCTGCTCACAAAGGGCTTCCCCACAAAGTAGAGGACCCCTGCCTTTCCCTCCCCAGCCCTAGAAGTGTGGAAGAAGTTGGAAAGCACCTGTATCTGAGAACCTGGGGGTATCAGATGCAGTGCTATTCTCAAGGGGACAGTGCTCAGAGGCCTCGCTGCTGTGCGGGATGCTCTCCGAGGTGCTGAAAGCGTGAGCCTCTGGGTGTGCCTGCTCGGCAGGTTGACTGAGCGCTCCAGTTAGTTTATGTTTTCCCTCTGCAACTCTTCATACCAGCCCTACTAGACCTATGCTAGGTGCTGAGACCATGGAGAGAGGTCAACTTCAGAACCTGCAAGGACTCCCAGGCTGGTGGCAGAGACTGACTGGGCAGAGACAGGTCTCATGGTCAGAGCATAGAAGGATGGAAGCACAGTAGACATGGGGTCCAATGGGGTCCAGTCTAGCCTGGCTGAGCAGGCAAGGCTTCTTGACCCTGCAAACCCAGGCTTGAAGGATGAGGAGCTGTTATCCAGGTGAAGAAGGGAGTTTGAAACGGGGAACAGCCAGGAGGCATGTCCGTACTGGTGCTTTTCAGACTGGCTGAGTTCTGACGGAATGGAGAGTAGGCTGGGGGTGGGGAAAGGTTTTGCCCATTTGGTGTGCTAAATATCTCTCAGGGTTTCTTCCTACACTGCCCACCTTTTTTTACACCACTCCTGCCTCCATTCCACAGCTGTGCCAGCCCTATCACCCCGGCCTAGACTATGGCACCAGACTTCCACCTGGTCCCCCAGCCTCTCACCTCTGCCTCTACCACCCCAGTCCATCTTGAACATCTGCCACTAGGGAACTTGCTGAAATGAAAATCTGGTCTTGTCACCTTTTAAAGCCCTCCCTGACTCCTTGCCAGCTATAGGCAATGCCTTAATCCCTTGGCTTAGCACTCAAACCCTCTCCACATCTCTCCAGGGCCCACTGCTCCTACCTCATTTCACTGGCTTTCCCCTCTCCAGTCCCAACTCCAGGCCTGCGTGCAATCCCATAGGTGCCTCTGCACATCTGCACTTTCCCGTGTCTGCTCTCTCCATTGTGCCTACATGCATGGGGAATTTCTTGGTCCGAGGTTTTCACCTCTGTCTACCTTCCTGGCCCCACACTGTTCCCACACTTCCCTATCTGCAGTCTGCATAGCTCACATCCCATTGTTTTGTGTTCATATTTCCCCCCATTAAATGTGAATTTCAGGAGGGCAGGGCAGGCTTGTGTTGGGTTCTTTGTGTTCCTCCTACCCAACAGAGACTGGCACACAGAGGGCATCAGTATCATTTTTTGAAGGCATTAAAAGAGTGAATAAGAAGTCATTGCCTTGCTAGTCTCTGGTGTGGCTGTGTGTTCTTAGAGCTATGGCTGTTGCTATGTTTCCTGGCTTTGGCCGCCTCTCTCACTTTGGGGAGGTGAATCTTCTGTCTCCCTTCTCTTTTTCGCTCTAATTTATTTTTAAGTAAACTATATTTTTTTTATCTAAAAAAAGACTGGATAAGAAGATCTCTTGGTGTTTCTAAAGGAGAGACACTCGGACCAGCCCTGGCAGAAAACACAGGACTCACCGAGCTTAACATAAGCTGGAATCACCTCCGAGGCCCAGGAGCTGTAGCGTTTGCCAGGGGGCTGGAGGTATGAGACCCTCACCAGTCAGTTCCCCAGGCCTGTCTTCTGGGGCAGGTCTCCCAGGTCTCTTTGTCTTTGCAGCTCTTCAGGAATGAATGATCTTTTAAGTAGAGCTTAAAGAGTGCTTCTTTGGGTGACTTTAATTTCCCTGGTCTCATTTAATGACTGCAGTGCAGTGTGCTCACTCTCACCTCACTTACTGAAGGATCTCCCACCTTCCCTAGGCATCTCAGATACTCAGCTGGGGGACCTCTGTGCAGTCCAGTGATGCAGGCTCACTGTTGGGCATAAGAAAATGCCTATCTGAGATGACACCCTTGAACCCATGGATGCCAGCACACCCTCTAAAACATGTCACTTGCCCCCTTGCATGGTGTGTTGCCTTGGGAACAGATAGCTCAAGCCCCTGCCAGGGTGGCACAAGGCACCTGCAATGCCCTCAGTGTCAGTTACCTTTGGGGGGGTCCTTCTGAGAAAATGACAGCCGCTGCCTTGCCCTCTTCCAGGGGCTGATCTGGGGGTCCTGCTGTACAAGGTGGCGGGTCAGCTCTGTTCTCCTCAACATCCACCCTTCTCCGCATTACAGTCCCTTGGCAGCTCTCGCTGGAAAGCCCTTTACTGGAGCCTCTGCTGAGCCCCCTGAATTGCTCTATGTGTGAGGGTCCCTGACCTTAAGAGGCTACCAAAGGGTTGTGGAGTCTGATCACCATGTCTGTGGGGCCCACTGCTGCTTGGTAGACCCCCTTTCAGTGTCTGAGGGTCATTTGCATCCACACCATCCTCTCCTGTTATGTTTTGGGCCATTTAGTTATCCTGGTCACCAATCAAGCCACAGCCAATGGGGGCCTGTGCAGCACTTTCCCAACTCTTCCCTGGAACCTCTGTCAATCTGCACTGTCCCTGCTCTTTGCACTTCGGGCCTCCTGGGCTCCAAGGCTCTGACTCCTGGCTCTCTCTGCTGTCAAATGGGGTCCCATGGCTTTCTTCTAGGCAAATATCTTCCTTAAAGTCCTGGACATCTCCTACAATGGCTTTGGAGATCCTGGAGCCTCCGCAGTGGGTGAGGCTCTCAAGGCCAATGACATGTTGGAGGAACTCAACATGAGGTGAGGGGCACTGAGTGCCACCCCAGGGACCAAGGGCTACGTGATCTTGCTGCTGTTTCCTTTAACTTCTGAACTTACCACAGTCTCCCCTGATGGAGCTTGAGCCACAATCCCAGAGCCCACAGCTCCATCCTTCTCATAAATCTCACAGGCAGGTGGCTGGGAATCACAAATGTGTGTCAGAGCCTGGGACAGGCAGGCACTTCACATACACTTGCCTTCCCCTCAGGAAAGGAGCCCGACAAGGGGGCTGGGGTGCATGCTTTGCTCAGCATGTGGCTCCTGAGCTGTGTCTGGCCAAAAGGGGTCCCTGTCCTTAGCAGGTAAACAGGGTTGGTGAGGGGGAGGAGCAGGGCCAGAGGGAAGAAAGAGGCAGAGGTCAGGCAGGTCAGGGCTGCAGTGACTGAGCCCCCTGCAGGCAAGGAGGCCCCACTCATCCTGCCCACCTTCCCTCCCCACAGGGAGAGCCATGGCTAGGGGCAGCCACAGTAGAGACTGAAATTTAGGGACAGCCAGAGCTGGGGTCTGAGAAGTCTGAGAGAAGTGGCACTGGCTTCAAAGACAATGAGGCCCAGAGCAGTGTGGAGGCTGGAGTTTGGGTCCAGCAGGAGGAGGAGAAGAGAATATGGACAGGGAGCTGGGTGATTTTCCAGAACAGACACTGTCATGGTGGCAAGGGTGGGGGTCCCAGCTGGGCAGAGCATGCTGGAGGCCTGCTGAGCTCCAAGGGACAGGACACAGCAGCTGGGCCCTGCCAGGGGCAGGGACACTTCAAGCATGTTTGCTGGGCGACCTCCTTGGACACTGGGAGGCACCAATGCAATGGCATCATCAGTCCATCTTCTGCATGTTGAGTTGCCTGGTTTCTGGGCTGTGAGTAGAGGCTGGAACATGTAGCCTAACCAGGTGGCTGCAACAGCAGCTCCAGTGGGGACCCTGGGGCAGTGGTCTCTGCACAGCTGTTTGGAAGGTAGCATGATGCATGTGTCTTTTTTGTTGCAGCAACAACGGCATCTCTGCAGTGGGAGCCCAGAACCTGGGCCTGGGCCTCCAGGTCAACCAGACACTGAGGATTTTTGTTGTGAGTGCTGGCCTGATGGGAGACCCTGAGACAGACCCTCCCTGTGCCTGTCCACACACAGCCTGCCCCTGCCACATCTCCCTACCCCCGAACAGCAGGCTCCAGAGCCCAGGGTCTCTGGGAGGGGGTCTCTTAGCATGCTCTTATGACCACTCACCCCCACCTCTGGCCTGAACATTCCCCTTGCCCCATCCTTCCCTTCCAGCTGCTGCCCCATATCTTGCTGCTCTTATTCCTTAGCTGACTGGAGTCAGCTGACTGGAGTGCTCTGACTGGAGTGCTCTGCTGGAGTGCTCTGCCAAGGCACCCTTGCTTCCCTTTCATCTTCTTGCCCTTCCTCTGATCTCTCTGGGTCCCAGGGTCAGCCCTGGTGTACTATTGGCTCTTGCTTAAACCTGCTGAGGTCTGTGTGCCCAGCAGGGATTCCCTTCCTCCAGGCTTTTCGGAGGGAGCTGAGCAGGGTGACAGCAGAAGACAGATGGGAGACAACCAGGCAAAGGGGGGAGTGGTCCTGGGGACCACTGTGCCTACGGCATGTGCTGAGGACAGTCTTGCCAGCTGGGTGGGGCCTTTTGTGTCTGCCTGGCCCTCAGCTCCCCTCCCAAAGCCTTCCCCTGGCTTCTCTAGCTTTCCTTCCCCTCTCCCCACAGCCCAACCCTTGCAGGAACCCAGACTTCCCTCAAGCCTGGATCTGTATTTCCAGCCACCTGCTGGGCAGTCCCCCTAATGTCCCAAAGTCTTGTGGGACTGTGAGAGTCCACTGAAATATGTCACACCCTGTAAGTGCTGCCTTTTGATGGGGCTTCTCCCCAGGTCCAAAGCTAGGGCCCAGAGCTCCTCCTGTACCTCCCTTTCCCACATCTTCCCTCTCATCTTTGCAGACAGCTCAGGATGCTGCTTCCTCGCTCTTATTTCCGCCTTAGTTTCTGTGAACTTGATGGTTTCCTGGTTCTGGTCCTTCCTTCCCTCCTGCTACCCTGTGGTTTTCCATTTTTCTTTTTAGACAATGTTAATGCTCTGTTGCCCAGGCTGGAGTGCAGTAATGTGATCATAGTTCACTGCAGCCTTGACCTTCTGAGCTAAAGAAATCCTCTTGTCTCAGCCTCCTGAGTAGCTGGGACTACAGGATCATGCCACTTTTCCTGACTTTTTTATTTTTATTTTTTTGGTGGAGACAGGGGTCTCACTGTTTCCCAGGCTGGCCTCAAACTCTTGAGCTCAAACAGTCTTTCCACCTTGACTTCTCAAAGTGTGGGATTACAGGCATGAGCCACTGTACCCAATATTCTGATCTTTCTAATTCTGAAACCTGCCCCTGCTTTAGACTCACTAACCCTTTGGATAAATCCAACCCTCCTAGCTGAAATTAGCTGCACAGAATTAGACAGACACACACACACACACACACACACACACACACACACACTTTTTCACCTTTGCTTTTGCTCCTGCTGTTCTTGCTGAAATGCCCAGCTCCATGTACACCTCACATGTACAGCTCTGAGCGGATGTTTTATCCCCCACCCCACCTTTTCCTTCCAGGTGGAGTTGGTGCACAGTCTCTCCTGGCACCCTGCTATTTTATGATATTCAATTTCCCTCCCCTCAAGTTGGTAAGCTCTTTAAGGACAGGGATGAGCTTGGTGTGTCTATATCTTTGGGGCCCAGCACAGAGCCTGGACTAGGGGGTGCCCAGTCAATATGCTTTCCCTTCCACGTCCCTGGCCCAGCAGCCTCACTCAGGACATTCTAAGAGATACCTTCTAAGTTGAGACATCCTAGCCACATCCTGAAATGAGAGGTTCCTCCTTCCTTTACACATTGCTCTCCAGTCTCTCCTCTGTTTTGGGTGTGTTTTTCAGGTGTCCAGGAATCCCATGTGAAGTGAAGGCTGTTTCAGTCTTCTCAAATCTGTGCGGGACAACCCAGCAACTGCCCTGAAAGTGCTGGATTTCTCTGTAAGAGCTTTTCTTAAACCTCAACCCTGATCCTCCCACAGCCTTGCGAGGTGTCACTGTCTCCACTGTAGAAGGGAAAAGTAAAATGTCGAGCCCAGAGGCACAGAGTGGCAGAGGCAGAGTTCCAAAACAGGTCTGAATGCAGGTCACGAGGCCACTCAGCTCTGCTCCCTCTGGAATGGTGGTCCTGGAGAGGTCACAACTTGGGCCCCTGCCTGGACTCCTCATTGCTTAAAAGAGGATAGGTGGGGGTCAGGGGCATTATGCTCACTGTTCACTGGTGTTTAGATTGGCAAGTCCAGCACAAGGCTTCCCTTCTTGCCTTCATTACCTGAGGGGATGTGCCTCTGGAAGCTTCACTTGAGCGGCTGTGAAGGAGATCAGGACACATTTTCATTTAATTTCAGCTCACATTTTGCTTTTATAGTATAGAAAAAAAAATGGGCCAGGCTCTGTGGCTCAGCCTGTAATCCCAGCAGTTTGGGAGGCCGAGGCGAGTGGATTGCCTGAGCCC